CCTTAGCTCTCCTCCCCCCCCACCCCGCATCCCGGGTTCTCGGGCCCAGCACCTCACCCGGGAGGCCGAGGTCCGAGGACCCGGGAGGCAGTTGTTGCCGGCTGGTCCCGTCCCCTTCGTCACAGAATTCCCGTCGCTGGCCTCCCCGCACCCCCGGGTCCTCGGGACACCGGAGAACGGTCCTCCCCGGGCCCGGTTCGCTGGAAAGCGCCCGGTGGCTTGAATTTCTGACTCATGGCTGTGGCTGGAGTCTGTAAACAAACCGGCGCTGGAGCGATCACGTTCTCCCCGGGACCCACCCCTCCCCCTGCGCGCTGGCTTCTCCTCGGGCGGCGGGGGGTGGGTTAGTTCGGGGCGAAGAGACTTTTGACATGTCCGTGGAGCGGGGAGGATCCTTGCCGGGCTCGTTTTGTTTCTGGAACTATGTTTGTAGGTTATTGACTGAGTAGCCGGCATTAGATCAATTAAATAGCTCGGGGGAGGTCTAAAAACATGTTAAAATGTACTTATATATTTTTTACTGTGTTTGGTGGAAGAGACCCCTTTGCCACTTAAACTTTCCTGTTTCTCAGTCCTTCCGTGAGTCTACGAGACCCGTGTTCTCGGAGCCGAGCCTGGCCCTTCCTGCCGCGGGAGAGGAGGGAAGGTGAGTGGGCGCTGAGCGTTTGGATTCCGGGTCCCGGGGTCGGGGGACCGTGTGTGACCGCGTTCCAGCTCTGGCTGAATGACTTCTATGAGCTTGGTGGGCCTTGGACATGCTGACTCTGTCGTAAACTCTTGCTGTGTGTCTTCAAAACCCCGGTAAGCCTAGAAGGGAATGTGTCTGCCTCATTTGCATCGTGCTTTGCCTGTGTGTGGATCGTGTTTCCTACACTGTTAAAAGCTGCGAATTAGTTTTGGGCCGTCCTTTCTTGCTCTTTAGAGGAGAATAGTTAGCTGCTTGGCACTCAAAGCCGAATGCTGCCTTCAGTTGGTGTCTGGGTTCGGTTCACCTCCGAATTCCAGCTCTTGAGGAGGTAGTAAACTTTGGGTTAAAAAACAGAGCAGCAGGCAGCAGCAGGAGCCAGGGTGGAAAGTCAGAACGTACTTGTCAGTGTAATTTTTGTAAGATTCTTGGGTTTCGAGAAGCAGAGAATAGCCCCGTGGTGGGAGTTTATGGGATGTGACAGGAGCTGTGTCTTTGGGAGGGAGGTCTGGCTGACTCTTAATATCTCTGATTTGCAGTAGAAAAGGTTGAGTGTGACACTGGTGATTTTTATTTCACATCCTGTTCTAATTAGAAAATGCTCATTATGAACTGGAATAAGATTATTATTGGTGGTACCTAGGTGTATCAGTAAGATATAAAGGGGAAAGTACAGCTTTAGAGCTGGAAGATGTGTGTTTAAATACTGTACTAAGATTTAGACCTTGGGCATGTTATTTAAACTTCTCCCTTCGTTTTCACATCTCTAAAAATGGGATACATACCACTTCCCACTGTTAGCATTGCATGAAGGAACCTATATACATCTCTAAATTATGGCTAGCACATGATAGACACATTTTTTTTTCTATTTTCTGTACACATCATTGATATGGCTTAGAATAAGTTATACATTAGTTTACATCTCTCTGTATTTTGCCTTTAAACATGTTTTCCTGGTTATTTTTTTTTCAATTCATTCTTAATTGGTCAGCTTAGATGTTACTTTGTGCCCACCCAGGGTTGTCTATTGAACATGATTCAGGTTAGTTCAAGACCAGAGGACAGGGGAGTATTAGATGTAGGTGTATGTATATCTCTAAATGCATTCTTAAACTGAATATCTGTAAGTTTTCTTTGTTCATTGCTTCCTTCCTCTTGGTGTGTCTATTAGTGTACCTGACCAGAGTTGACACAAGTATTGCACAGGCACCTCAAGATACTGGTGGTTCAGTTCCAGAACACTGCAGCAAGGCAGTATTGCTGTGAAGTGAATTGTACTCTTTTTGCTGGTGAAGGGTCTTGCATTCAATTTGTAAAAAACACAACATCTGTGAAGCACCACAATGCCTGTAATTCCTTCCTTTCCTGCTTCAGTGTGGTTCACCACCTCTGCTCTAGCTACTTCTTATGCCTTTTCCTTTTGCCAAGGAGGGAATATGTTGTTGTTTTCCCTAGTTGTTGGGCTCTGCAGTGATCCTCATCAATAGATTATCAAAGAACTAGACCGTGAAAAGGTCTCCTTTCTTTCTGAAGTGAATCTGGACTAGAGGGTTAGGAATACAGAGTTTTTTATTTCACCTCCCCAGTTGGACCATCTTAATAATATGATAGCACAAATGAAAAGTTTTTAACCTTCTCTTGCTGGCTTTTCTTCCATGCCTTTTTGCAGTAGGTAAGGCCACATGAAAATTAAGAAAGTGTTGATTAGCCCTCTCTGGTTTGGCTCAGTGGATAGAGCATCAGCCTGTGGACTGAAGGGTCCTGAGTTCCCCTGGTGGGCTCGATCCCCAGTAGGGGACAGGCAGGAAGCAGCTGAGATCAGTGATTCTTTCTCATCATTGATGTTTCTATCTCTCTCCCTCTTCCTTTCTGAAATCAATAAAAATGCATATTAAAAAAGTGTTGATTACATTGTGATGAAAGCAATTATATTCAAGCCAGGGATCAACTTAGAGTTGATCAACTTGCATTAACATCAAGCAGGATCTAAATTCTCTCCATTGAAAGATAAAGACTTGGGATGGAGAGTGGTGAGATTACATTTTTATTATTTGTATTTTTAGAAGATTTTTAGGTCTTTGTTGGGAAAGAGTGGAAAAAGGAAATATGTTTGAAGGGCATAATTTTGACTATTCCTTATTATTCTATGTGCTAGATAAGAATTCTCCATCCCTGCTCCATCCCCCCAAGGATTTCACATATTCTGAAGATATTTTATATTTCATGGTGTTGCATAAGAATTGTTCCATTTTATTAGGAAGAATTTCCTAGCATGGCTGAAGTGGAAGGCTAGGTATGCTTGTGACCTTAGTTCCCAACCTGACAGGGCATTTAATACAGCACTCTATTAAATGTGTAAAATTCAGTCCCAGTGCTGTGATCCCTAGTGTTGACTAGGATCAACCCAGGACAGAAGCCTGTCTTCAGAGAGCTGGAAAAAAGCAGCCCTTTTGTTGCCAGTTTAAAACAGTACTGGCATTTCAAAAGCAAATGGGACACTGTGAGTGGAAGACGTTCCATAGAAGTGTGCCCTGTTGTGGGAGCCTGAGATGATCAGTTTCACACTCTGTTGGTCCTGTATTCCATCAGTGAGTTACAGGCTTTTAAAATCATGAAGTGACTAGTTAAACTTTGTTTTTAGTGAGTATTATTTATTTCTGGATATTATCTACTGTAAGAAAGTTACTCTAAACATGTCTAGGAAATGTCCAGATTATAAAAGACAGTTAGCCAAACAGAGCTTTTTATTGCATAACATTAGTGTTAAGAGTTAGTTTTTAAGATTGAATTAGCTTTATTTTTAAACAGATTATCAGTGAGGCAAGATAATCTGTTATTTACTCTTACCCATTTGGAACCCAGGCAATTGAAACAATTGAATCAGCAACAGGCATGGAGGTAGTGACTATGCATATCTTAATTTCTGAGACAAATGTCAATGCTTTTAGATTTAACAGTCATACTGAAAACTTTATCTTTGGTTTTTGTGAATATGCACAAGAATCTTCACCCTGGCCCTACCTTCCCTGTGGTGTGCTCAGTGGTTAGAGTATTGGTCTGCCCACCAAAGGTTTGTGGGTTCAATTCCAGGTCAAGGGCATATACTGAGTTGCAGATTGGATCCCAGCCCCAGTCAGGGCTTGTGCAGGAGGCAACCAATCCATGTATCTCTCTACATCAATGTTCCTCTTTCCCTCCCTCCCTTCCTTGCCCTCCCTCCCTCCCTTCCTTCCACTCTCTAAAAATCAATGGGAAAAAATATATCCTCGGGTAAGGATTAACAACAACAAAAACGAATCTTTTTACTATTAAAGTTGGTCAGAAAAAGGGACTACCTGTTCTTATTTACTTATTCAGCTATTCTTGTCTTAGAGTGAGAAGAAAGTCTTTGAGCAGTTTTTGAAAATTAGTGTGTGATGAATTTTATGAATTGGTCACTTATTTATAGCATTTTTTTTTATATCTCTACCCCTACAGAACACAGTTTCTGAGCCAGAAGCCCAATTTATCAAGTACTACCTTGACCCCAGGAATGTGTATGTTAGAGATAAATTAATGAATTTAGTCTGTCTCGAGTTTGCATGTAGGGCGTGGGCCATGATTAATATGACAGAGATGGCATCTTTTAATGAAATGTGGTATGTCTAACGGATTGGGTTATTGCAAAAATTTTCATCATTATATTTGGGAGGTTAGGTATTTGCTCTTACCCTGTGAGGATACTGTTTAAGGAAGTCTGGCCAAGTTCTAATGTGAAGTTATCTCACAAGTCCTTTTTTTGTTCTTGGTTTTCCTTAGCCATCTGGAAAGCTACTATGATTTACCTCTAGTGGTAGCCAAGAGGACATAGTTCTCTAGTGTCCTTTAAGCAGTACCATTATCAGGTATATTTTCACCTTATTTAACTCTGCCCTCTGAGTGCAGGTAGGAGGGCACTTCTTGATGTTTTTAGCCTTTCTTTGTTTCATTATAAATTGTTCCTTTGGCGTATCACCACTCTCTCTAGTGTCCTTTCCAGCGATTTGAGGGGAAAAAAATATATTTTTTTGTTACTCATCACCTGAGGATATTTTTCCATTGATATTTTAGAGAGAGTGGAAGGGAGAGGGAGAGACAGAGAGCAAGAAACAGAGAGAGACACATTGATTGATTGTTTCCCGCACGTGCCCGACCAGGGCTGGAAATTGAATTGAGCCTGCAACCGAGGTATGTGCCCTTGAATAAAACCAGGGACCCTTCAGTCCACAGCTGATACTCTATCCATGGAACAAAACTGGCTAGGGCTCAAGAAGATTTGAAATGTGAATGGCAAAAACTGGTAATACTGGATTTTGATGTGAAAGTAAATCATTTTATAGTGGAAACACAATGGAATTTCCTTAGTCAATGGATTTTCCTTAGAATCATTTAAATTGAGATAAATGGGCTTAACCGTTATAAAAAGTTCCTTAGCTCTACAGCTGGAGATAGCATTGATGGGTTAGAATGAATTCTTAACATACTGAAATACTATTATTGGAAACAAAGCCAATAAACTAAACACTGGAGGCATTTGGTATTACCAACAGGAAGAGAAGGCATCCATCCAAAGGGGAAACAAATTTCCTTGTTCATAGGATAGTTGATGCAGGACTTCCTTATCTTCCTCCTCATCATCTGTGGTGTGGTTGCTTTGAAGTTCTCATCTTGGCTCTCCTCTCAACTTTTAAGAAAAGGAGGCTTATATTGTGGGTTCTTGGGTATGTTGCTTTACCCTAGTTCATAGGACGTGAATATGCTCAAAAGAAGATGTTAACAGAGGCCTCTGAATTCTTTAAAAGGCCAGTGAGAGCAGTTAAGCAGATAAGGACTTGGGACTATATCCAAACTTCCATATAATGTTTGTAGGATCATTGCTGAGTGGCAGGCAATCCCAGGTTCTCTAGGAAATGCAATCTGGAACCAAGGTTGAGAGGGTA